CTTTACCTCGTTTCGCGTCCATGATGCTTTGCCCAGAGGGAGACCCGGATGCACTTGACATCCCCACCCCGCGCTCTTACAGAGAGGCGATCACGGGTGAACCTCCTCTCAGTGGCAGACAGCCATGGATGCAGAGATGGCTTCCTGGAAGTCCACAGGCACCTACGTCGATGAGGTTCCCCCTCGTGGGGCGAACATAGTCGATGGCATGTGGATTTTCAGAGTGAAGCGGCCGCCGGGTTCTCCGCCTGCCTTCAAGGCGCGTTACGTTGCTCGAGGCTTCAGTCAGCGACAGGGGGTCGACTTCTTCCAGACCTTCTTCCCCACCCCGAAGATGACTACTCTTCGGGTGTTGATGCACGTTGCAGCACAGCGTGACTACGAGCTGCACTCCCTCGACTTCTCCACAGCTTTCTTGCAGGGCAGCCTTCACGAGGAGATCTGGCTGTGCCGCCCACCTGGCTTCACTGGGTCGTTTTAAGAGGGTACCCAGTGGAGCCTCCGGCGGCCAGTCTACGGTCTCTGCCAGGCGCCCTGAGAGTGGCACGACACACTGAGGACGACTCTTGCGGCTCTTGGGTTTGCTCCTTCCACTGCTGACCCGTCACTGTTTCTACGCACCAACCCTACACTGCCGCCGTTCTACATCCTCGTGTACGTCGACGACTTAGTCTTTGCTACTGTCGACACTGAGGCGCTGACCCTTGTGAAGGCAGAGCTGCAGAAGAGACACACTTGCACTGACCTGGGTGAGCTGCGTAGCTATCTTGGCTTGTAGATCACCCGGGACAGAGCACGGTGCACCATCACTCTGACTCAGTCACACATGGTGCACCAGGTCCTTCAGCGCTTCCGCTTTCGGTTCTCCTCGCTACAGCCCACTCCTCTGCCTACAGGCCAGTCGCTCTCAGCTCCACTTTCGGACAAGTCTGTAGAGCCGAGTGGCCCGTATCCAGAGCTTGTGGGCTGCCTCATGTACCTGATGACGTGCACACGACTTGACCTCGCGTACCCTCTCAGCATCCTCGCTCGCTTCGTCGCCCCCAGGAGACACAGGAAGGAGCACTGGACAGCTGCGCAGAGGGTACTGCGTTACTTGTGCAGTACATCGGGCATGGGGCTTGTGCTTGGAGGACGGGGTCCAGTGGTACTCACAGGACACTCCGACGCTTCTTGGGCTGACGACCAGGCGACTCAGCGGTCGTCCCAGGGTTACTATTTCAGTCTCGGCTCTGGTTCTGTCTCGTGGCGGTCCACTCGTTCGTCTTCTGTGCTTGGTTCCAGCTGTGAGGCCGAGATCCACGCTGGGGCCATGGCTGCACAGGAGCTACGCTGGGTGACCTACCTGCTGACCGACTTGGGTGAGCGGCCTCGTTCTCCTCCAGTTCTGTACGTTGACAACAAGGCCATGATTGCCTTGTGTCAGGAGCAGAGACTGGAGCACAGAACGAAGCATATTGCTCTTCGATACTTTCTTGCTCGGGAGCTGCAGCAGCGTGGTCAGCTGCGCCTTGCTTACGTGGCCTCTCGGGCCAACACTGCTGATGTCTTCACCAAGGCCCTTGTGTCTGGTGATCATCAGCGTTTCTGCACTGCTCTAGGCCTTGTGCCTACTCTTCCTCACCTGCTGGTTGCTTGACTTGTCTTGTACTGTGATCTATATATATATATACCTGCATGCTTGTTCTTGCTAGGTTGTGATCACTGTACTGCTTGTGCTTTTATAACTCTGCATGTTGTCAGAAGTACGAGTAGGAAGTTTAGAACAAGAAAGAGGAGTTTCACTAGCAGCAGTTGGGATACAAATAGCAAACCCTAACTGGGTTGTACTCACTATAGAGCACCCCACTGCAGGCTAGATAATATAACATTCTGACACACCCCCATAGCCAAAGTGGGGTGTAATCAGCACAGCAAGCAGCAGTTCATAGAGTTCACAAATAATAAGCAAAGTCAGAGGCAACCACAAAGGGCAAGTGAGGAGGAGGAGGAACCGTAAGGGAAAAGAAGATAGGAGACGACGGCTGAAGCTGCAGACACACGGGCAACAGGAGTGCGCTCTGCGACTCAGTGGCTACCGGGAGCTAGTGCCCCGGAATACAGGAGTAACAGGCTCTGCGGCTGCGACGAGCGGCAGGAGCAACGGACCCACGGGCGACAGGTGCAGCAGGCTCTCTGAGCTACCGGGAGCAAGTGCCCCGGAATACAGGCGCTGCGGACGACACGACGGCAGCCTCCTCTCAGCCTCCCCAAACAGTCCCACCCCCCTGACACACACCCCCTGCTTCACCCCTAACTCCACTCCCACGTCACCCCCCAGTTCCACTCCCCGCGGCTCCCACACCTCCACCCCCCTCAGCGGCAGCTGCAGCAGTGGGAGACGGAAGGGGAGGAGGAGGAGCAGGTGAGGTACACACTCGCCACCCCCATACGCTCCACCCCCAAACCCTAATACAGGAGCACGGGCAGCAGAGGGGGTGGGGCGCGGTCAGAAGCTCGGGGGACGGCGCGCGGCGCAGGGGCAAACGGTACGGGCCGCCCACGGGCCTGGCGAAGGCCGGACGAACCGCGCGGGGGCGGCCCGAGCCGTGCGCGGGCCTGGCGCAGCCCGTACTGGCCGCGCGCGGGCCTGGCGCAGGCCGTACGGGCCGCGCGCGGGTCCCCACGGCAGCGTGACGGGAGGACGGGCCCGCGCGCGGCCTGCAGGACGACTCGACGGGAAGGGCGGGGGCTGCGCGCGGGTCCCCCAAGGCAGCGCGACGGACAGGGCGGGGGCTGCGCGCGGGTCCCCCAAGGCAGCGCGACGGACAGTGGCGGGGGCTGCGCGCGGGTCCCCCAAGGCAGCGCGACGGACAGGGCAGGGGCTGCGCGCGGGTCCCCCACGGTAGGAAACCGCCGCGCGCTCGGGGCGCGCGGCGGGATGAAAAAACGCCGCGCGCTCCGGGCGCGCGGCAGGAACAAAGGGTCACGCGCCCAAGGCGCGCGACAGCAGTAGAGCAGCGGAAGCAGTTAGGTGGTGGGCCCACCCACAGGATCGACCCAGGAGGGTCGACCTGCTCTGAAACCATGTCAGAAGTACGAGTAGGAAGTTTAGAACAAGAAAGAGGAGTTTCACTAGCAGCAGTTGGGATACAAATAGCAAACCCTACCTGGGTTGTACTGAGCACCCCACTGCAGGCTAGATAATATAACATTCTGACACATGTGAACTGGCCTTGTGGCCGCTTGCTTGTGCTCAGAATGCTTGGTGATCTTGAGATCCACCCTGAGCTTTGCTTTGCTTTGTTCTCTTGCTTGACTGGTCTTGTGACCGTCCGCTGTGTTTGCTATCCCCAACTTTGCCTATGGGGGTGTGTCAAATTGTAATTGTTCTCTGTAGGCTGTAGTGGGGCACACCCTAAAGGGTACAACATTTTAGGATTAGGTAGTACTTGTACTCACTCTTCCTACCTAGTCCATCATTCGTACGTTCCTATTCTGACAATCACTATGCGCCGGGCCTGCCCGGCCAGCTGTCGTTCGCCACGTGAAGCCACCCGAAATCCTCGCGCACAGTGACGACAACCTGCCTGACACCAACTGCCGCATAAAAAACAGTGCCGAGATTAACGGAACTGACGAAAATAACAAACGTAATAAATGTGCGACAACCACAGCTGCCGGGGGGAGGGAGGCCACGGTCAATCTCGACCGTCGAGGGCAAGGATCCGTCGGTGTCGCAAGAGCGCCTGGAAAATTCAGGCCGCGAGGAGCAACTACCCGTTCTCCTGGCCGGCTATCGCGCAGCTCCTGGACCCCACGGCATCCTTCCCTGTCCCCCCCCCGAAGGGTATTACACTCTAAAAAGCGGGGTGAGCTAGGAAAGTAGCTCTGATACCAAGTGTTATGAGTTGTACTAAACAGAGTGCGCGTAAGACTTTATAAAAAAGGATGTGAAGTACAGAATGACGAGACAATGAATAAAGCAGACATTTATAGGGCGAATATGTGCTAGGCGAGAGCCTCGTGACGTGCGCGGGTTGGATGTGTCGCGATTGGTGCGGGGCGACTCGGAATGTGGTTCGGGCCGAAGTGTAGGCCGAACCCAAACTGACGCGAACTGTTCGGGCTGTCCTCGCTAGGAGCAGCCTCTACAGTAATGAATTCATATTCATTACACTCAGGTTCATGATATGGTGCCTGAAATCGTGAAAAGATAAAAAAAATATGCATTTGAGGAGACCAATGTGGGGATTGAGGAAGACCAGAAGAGTGGGGTGAGGAAGACCAGAAGAGTGGGGTGAGGAAGACCAGAAGAGTGGGGTGAGGAAGACCAGAAGAGTGGGGTGAGGAAGACCAGAAGAGTGGGGTGAGGAAGACCAGAAGAGTGGGGTGAGGAAGACCAGAAGAGTGGGGTGAGGAAGACCAGAAGAGTGGGGTGAGGAAGACCAGAAGAGTGGGGTGAGGAAGACCAGAAGAGTGGGGTGAGGAAGACCAGAAGAGTGGGGTGAGGAAGACCAGAAGAGTGGGGTGAGGAAGAAAAAGAGGGTGTTACGTCAGCCGGGAATCGAACCCGGATCTTTTGCTTGGAAGGCAAATATCCTAACCATTGGACTACTGACGTGTGATTCTGGAATCCAAAATACCTTTTGGAATAAATTCAAACGATTCGAAATACCCAATACAGACAAGAATATGTCTGCGAGTATGTTGCGAGCAGTCCCCAAGTACCAGGGGATTCCTACATCTTTGTGCCGTTGGTACAAGCTCTCACATGAGTTGCACTCTATATAATGCAAGGGGTGCTACTACAAGCCTCAAATCAACTTCTACAAACTAATGGACAACGAATTGCTGTCCCTGTGACCCTCTAGTATCCCATCTGCCCGAAACCATACACTTGTGCCAAGTGAAGGCCAACTTACAGCCTTTCACTATGGGCAGGGCGAGCAGAATGATTGCAAGGGTTCTAAATGACTCCCTTTACCGTATCAAGATTGCCTCCGGTTGATACCGTCCCTCTAGACCATGCCCATGCCTCGGGAGCTGCTGCTTCTGCCCAGCCTGGGCGCACTCGCACTGGCAGGATTGGCTGTGCTGTTGGTAATCCCCCCCACCTTGCTTCTTGGACTGGCAGGCCTTGACCCCAGCCGCCTCTCCTCCCTCCGCTTCTCCTCCTTCTTCTCCTCTTTCTTCTCCTCCCTCTTCTTCTCATCCTTCTTCTCAGCTTTTCGCTCAACGTCTCCCCTAGCCCTTCTCTCCCCCTTCTTGTCCACGTCAGCTTGTGCCAGCCTGGCAGCAACTGCCTCGTGCTCCGCCCTCAGTCGCGCCAGCTCACCCTCTGCTACCTGCGCTGCCCGCTTGGACTCCTCCAGCTGTGCTGCCATGTCAGCAAGCCTTGCTGTTAGCTCACCCTCGTGCGACTGCTGAGCTGCACTGCTGTCTGCTGCTCCTGCACTTGCCAGTGCACTGGCAGGGGGCAGGGAGAAGTAGGAAACTTTAAGTCGAAGGACAGGGAGAAGACTAAGAACAGTCCACTGAAAAGGAGACAGAAGAGAGGGTACCCTTTAAGGCGCCTCAGACTCACCGCTTGAGCTGCTCCTTGTAACTGTTGTTGGCCTCCAGCGCCTCTGCCAGCTCCGTTTCCAGAATCGCCATTCTCTCCGCCACCCCACTCGCCGTGCGTTGCGCCGCCGCCTTGCGAGGATCCTGGGGTGGGATTGGGTGAGATTGATTGAGATTGGATTAGATATGAGTGAGTGAGTGTGGGGTTGTGTCATTTTAAACAGTGTTTGAGTATTTAAGGACTCGGTTTGTGTTATGTTAGGTCCAAATCGACCACCCAGGGCCAGATTCACCCCATTCCACTCCTCTCCCCTCATGTCCCTCACCTCCTGTGTGTGTGCCTCTGTGCCAGACCCCTTGAGTGCTGACAGTGCACACCGCAGTTCCGCCTCCCTCACGCGTGCCTCCCCCACCTGCTGCTGCGCCTTGCGCAACTGGAGGGAAGGGAACACATGACACATGGGGGTGGGGGGAGTGGATTTGGGGGAGGGTGGTTAACATGAGCGTTAGGAGGATCACAGGTGGGGTGGGTGTCTGATGTGGCGTGTTAATTCTGTGCCCTTATCCGAAGCCGTTGCCTGTGTGATGTAATTCCCACCCATGCACATATCCCCCATGCCCCCAGCTCCTCCCTATGGAACTTAAGCCACGCCCATGGCCTCCAACCCGAGCCTATCGCCCTCATCCCTACCTCCTGGTTCAGCCTGGCAGTGGTGTTGTCTCCTTTACTCCCCAGCAGCTCGTTCGCTGCCTCCAGCTGCTCCAGCCGCTCTGTCAGGCTGCGCTCCCTCGCCTCTGCTGTGGCTCGGCTGCTCTCCAGAGACTGCTCAAGAGATCGCACTTGGTCCTGCAAGCCATGCACACGAGTGGAGTGGGTTGGGATGGGTTGAGTGCGGTTTCTGAGGTGCCTCAGAATCGCCTTCAGCCGCTTGGTCAGGCTGCGCTCCCTTGCCTCTGCTGTGGCTCTGCTGCTCTCCAGAGACTGCTCCAGGGATCGGACCTGGTCCTGTAGGGAGTGGTGATGGGTGGAGAGTGGTTAGGAGGTGGGTTGAGAAAGTGGAGCACAAAGGTAAGACATCTGGCAGGGAAGCCAGCACACACTTTGCAGCTGCATCGTGCTCCCAGACACCATATCATATCCCCTCTCCCCCCCCCTCGCCACCCCCTCTCCCCAAAAATATCGTTCTCACCTCAAGCTTGCCCACTTGGCTCTCCATCCCGCCACCTCCCCCAGATGCAGCCTGCCTGGCGGCCTCCAGCTGCCGCTCAGCAGCAGCCAGCGCCTCTGCCTTGCGCTGCAGCTCCCCCTCCAGAGCCATCGTCCGCTTCCTCAGCTCCTCCACCTGTCTCTCCGCCCCGCCCTCCCCTCCCCCCCGCGCCGACATTATCCCCCCCGCCCGCCCCCCGCGGGCGAATGCTCCGCCCCCTCCTCCGCCCATCATCCCCCCTCCGCCTCCCCCCATTGGCCTTCCTTTCATTGCACTACCAGCGCCCATACCCACAGTGCCCACACCCATCCCCCCATCCCCCTCTCCTTTCACCTCCGCCAACTGCTTTTTAAGCTCTCCATTCTGCTGCTTCAGCTGCCGCACCTCCTCGGCCAATGCACTTGCAACCGCTGCCCCCGCCCCCCCCACACTCCCCCCACCACCTACAGACCCAGCACCCCCAGACACACTCGCCAGTTGCTCCACTCTCTCCTCCAAATCCCTCACCACCCCTTCCAACCGCTTCTTCTCCTCTCTCAACCCCACCACCTCCCCCGCCTTAGCCGCCAATTCCCCCACCTCCCCCTCCAGCACCACATGCTTGGCCCGCAAATCCTCCAGCTCACTCAACCCCTCTTCCATCTTGGCCAGTTTAAGCGACAGAGTCAGCCTCCTCTCCTCTAGCACCTGTTTCTCCGTCCGCAATGCCACCAAATCGCTCTTCACCCGCTCACACTCCTTCACTTTCGCAGCCATGCTCCCCTGCTGGGCCACCAGCGCCCGCTTCTCCCCCTCCAGCTCCTCCCTCACCGCTTCCAACCGCTTCATACCCGCCTCCGCCTCCCCAAGCTGCCGAATCAGCTCGTCCCGCTCCTCCTCAACCCCCCTCAGCTTCACTACCACCTCTCCCGCCTCTGCTGCTTTCCTCTTCAGCCCCTCAGCCTCAACCACCCACGCCGCTTCCTTGCTCCGCGCTGCAGCCTTCTCAGCAGCCACAGCCCGCCGCTGGCTCTCCACTTCAAGCTCCGCCTTGTTCCTCTCAGCTATCGCATCCCTCAGCTCAGCTTCCGCCCGCCTCAACCGATCCTCCAACTTACCCTTGGCTGCTCTCAGCTCTGCTGCTTCCACCGCACTCGTGTTCTCCCTTCTCAGGTTACCACTCGCGCTCACAGACGCGGATAGCTGCTCTGTCAGCAGCTGCACCTCCGCCTGTAACCGCGCTACAGCCGCCTGCCGCTCCTCCTTCTCCCGCCTCTGCCCCTCCTCCGCCTTGCCCGCCCTCGTCTTTGCCTCGTCTCTATCCCTCTCCACCCCTTGCAACCGCACTGTCAGCTTCGATTCCACCTCTTTCATCCTTGCCAGGTCCCTCCCCAGCTGCTCCCTCACCCTCTCCCCCGCCGCCTCCCCTGCTGCCGCCCTCGCCTCTGCCGCCTCCCGTTTCGCCTCCTCCTGCCCCAGCACCCGACTAAACCGCTCCTTCTCCCTCTCCATCTCTTTCAACCGCCCCTCAAGACCCTGCACCTCGCTCATCAACTCCCCTTCTCTCGCCTCCGCATGCTGCAGCCGCCCCTCAAGCTCCTTCGCTCTCCCTGCCTCTGCCTTGGCCTCAGTTGTCACCACCACCAGTTGAGCCTGCACCTCTGCTACCCTCTCCTCTGCCCTCCTCTTCCCCGTATTCGCCTCCTGTAGTTCCGCTTCTAGCTTCCCACACGCCCCTTCCAGCCGCAACACCCTCATCTCCACCTCCCTCTTCCCCGCCCCTGACTCCCCAGCCACCTTCCGAACCTCGGCCTCAAGCTCGGCAATCCTCTTCCGAGCCTCCTCCAGCTCCTTGCTCTTCCCGCGCCGATCCCCTCCGCCCAAACCAGACAACTCCCTCACCTCCCACTCGGCCAGCCTTGTCTCTAGCGCCTTCACCTGCCCCTCAAGCTCCACTATCCGCCTCCTCGCCTTCTGATTGCTCTCCCTCATCTCCTCCACCTCACTGGCGCTCATACCACCGTTGCTGCGCCTCACAGCAGCAGCAGAATCCGCCTTGGCATCGTCTAGAAGCTCCTGCATGGCAGACAGCTGCAACTCCACCTCTTGAACCCGGGACTCCGCCAATCTCTTCCCCTCATCCAGCAGCCGCACCTGCTTCTCCAGCCCCGCCCTATCGCTCCTCCACGACCCCATCCCCTTCTCCAGCTCCTCCATTTTCCCCTCCACGTCACCTTTCTCCTCCCGCAGCTTCTCCTTCTCCTTCGCCAGCTCAGCGGCGCGCGCGCGCCACTTAGACGCCACCTCAGCAAGCAGCGCCACCTTCCCAGCAGCATCCAGCCCCTCAGCCCTCGCAGCCAGACTCGCAGAATCCTCCAAATCAATCCCACCAACCCCATTCTCCAGCACCTCAGCCAACCTCTCACTCAACTCCTTCCCTGCCTGACCCTCATCAGCACATTTCTTTTCCAGCCGCCCCACCTCCTCCACGTACCTCGTCAGCTGACTCTCCACGTCCGCCCGCGCCTCCTTCAAATGCTCCACCTCTAACTCATGCCTCCTCTCCGCCTCCTCCCTCGCCCGCCGCCCCGCCGCCAGCAGCTTCTTGGTACTTTCTAACTCCGCCTCCACCTCCCGAGCCCTCCGTTCATACTCTTCTAAGATGCTAAGTCTGTCATTCGCTCTCTGAGTCGCCATTTCAGTGACGCGCACCTTGCTGCGCAGCTGCACCACCTCCTCCTTGGCGGCCTGCGCCTCCCCCCGCTGCACCCGCAGCTGCTCCAGCAGCTCCTGCACGCGCGCCTGCAGCTTCCGCGCATCTTCCTCCTCCATGCTGCTTCCGCCCTCGCTGCTCACAGCCCTCACCGCGACCTCTGGTTTCGTAGGTTCCTCTACAGCAGCAGGGGGAGGGGGCGGGGGCGGAGGCGGAGTCGGTGTCACAGGCGGGGGCGGGGGAGGGGGAGGGGGAGTGCATTTGGCGCAGAGCGCAGGGGCGGAAGGCTCAGAGCATTTCGGACACAGGCACGGGGCAGGGGGAGCAGGAGGCGGGGGCGGCGCCGGGCGCTGCTGCCGCAGCTGCACAGGCTGGTACGGCTTCGGCTTGGGTTTTGCCTGTAGCAGCTGCGCTATACTCGCCGGAAGCCCTCTCCCACCCCTCGCCGCGACCAACTCCTGCTTCAGCTGCTCGATCAACACCTCCTTCTGCTCAGCCTCCTTATTCGCCGTGTTCAATTCCGTAGCTAGCTCAAGACTCTCTGCTGTGAGCTCCTGTGCTTCCTTCTCCAGTTCTTCCACCTTCTGCTGGAGCTCCAGCAGCAGGCTCTCATCGCAAGGCATGCCCGCCGTCCCGCTGCTCTCCTGCCCATCATACCCAGCGTACCGTTTACTGCATCCCCCGCCCCTCACCTCCCCCTCGCTCTCTGTCGCGAGCTCCAACTCATCCCTCAGGTCCTGCAGAACCAGCCCCGCGCGCCTGTCCGCCCCGCCGAACAAACTCCTCTTAACCGATGACTGAACACTCCCCCCCACCCCGCCCATCCCGTCCAAAACCCCCATCGACCCGTCCATTCCACCGTTCCCCTGCGCGAGCTCCGCCAGGCGCCTCCCCCACTCCGCCTCCTTCTCCTCCATCTGCTTCTGCAACCGCTTCGCCACGGCTTGCGCCTCCCGCCTATCCTCGAACAGCTCTTCCGCGTCCCGCCTGTACTTCCCCGCCTCTCTCTCCGCCTCCTCTAGCGACTTAGACAGCTCCACGTTGTCCCGCTGAAACACCTCCAGCTGCGCTGATAAGCTATCAACCGTGCCCTTGAGATACTCCACCTCTTCCATCAGCATTTCCACCTCCCTGCCGCCCCCCATCCCCCCGTGCATGCCCCCGGGCCCGCCCATGCTCCACTCGCTCCCCTCCCCCATCCCCCCGCCGCCCACTTCCCCCCCTGCCCGCCCCATCCGCAGCTGATTCAACTCCTCCTGAAGCTGATCCCTCTCCCCTTTCAACTCCCCTATCGCAATATCAGCCCTCTGATCCTGCGTGATCGCCTCAGCCAGCTGGCTCCTCAGACTCTCCACCTCCCTGGTGAGATTCCGCGCGTTCAGCTGGTATTTCACGCAGTCCCGCTGCAGCTCCTCTATAGCCGCCTCCGCCGCCGCCAGCTCCCCCGGATAGTCCCGCATGACCGCGCCTCCTCCGCCGCGCCCGTGCACTGCCCCGAGAGGGTTTGTCAGAGAGCTTCCCACGGAGCCTAAGGGGCTGAACCCGTCGGGGATGGGGCCAGCAGGGACGGGCGACATGGCGCCTGCGCTGGGCGAAGGCAGCGCGCCGTTTCCCTTGGCGCCCGCGCTGCCCCCGCCTCCGCTGCCTCCCCCTATCCCTCCTCCGCGCGCTCCCCCCTGGTGGTGGTTCCCATAAGCGGTGCTGCCCGCGCCGCTAGCAGCACTCCCGCCGCCTCCCCCGCTGCCTGCCCTACCCAACGTTTGATAATACTCAGGGTAGGCCAGGCGCGTGTGCTGGTGCTGCGGAGTAGCCACAGGCGACGAGTTCATACTCGAGGGCGGGGAAACCAGATGCCCCTCCCCCGGACCACCTCCCCCCGCGCCCATCCCCCCGCCTGCCGCACTCGCCCCGCCTGACTCCGCCCACGCGGGTTTATACCCCGCGCCAGTGCCAGCAGTCCCAGGCACCGTGCCCGTGCTACCAACCATACTAGCCGGGGTTTGAGGCGTTCCCCCCGGCCCTTTACTCCAGCTTCCCAGTGCTCCACGGGGAGACATACCAGTCATAGGAGTACCCCCCCCCCCACCACCACCACCGCCACCGCCCATAGACCCCATTCCGCCAGGCGACTGCAGCTCCTGCAGCTCATCTATATACTCATTCTCCCCAGTCATCTCCCCTGGTGTCCTCTCCCCATACTCGCTCCCCTCCATCCCTGTATACCCCATTCCAGTGGCTCCCACGGACGCGGTGAGCCCAGGAGACAAGGCGTCCGGAATGGCCCCCTGTGAAGTTCCGTCTGAGGCAGAGTCTAAGGCGTATTGGCGTCGCCGCACCTCCTCCCGCTGCTGCCGCTGCCACTCGCGCTCCATTCTCACCCGCCTTGCTTCCTCCTCCAGCTCCTCCTCCGCCTGCCGCATCTCCTCCCTCTGCTGCTCCTCCAGTAGCTTCCGCTGCCGCTCCTGCTCCTGCCGCTTCCGCTCCCTTTCCCTCTCCCTCTCCTTCTCCTTCTCCCGCTCCTTCTCCTTCTCCCGCTCCTTCTCCTTCTCTCTCTCCTCCTGCTCCTGTCTCTGCCGCTCCCTCTCCTTGGCTGCCTCCAACTCTCGCTGCTTCTCTTTCTCCTTAGCCATTTCACGCTCCCGCTCCTTTTCCTTCTCCCGCTCCCTTTCTCTCTCCGCCTCCCTTTCCCTTTCTCTTTCCCTCTCCCTCTCCCTCTCCATTTCTCTCTCTTTTTCCCTCCTCTCCCTCTCTTTCTCCCGCTCGCGTTCCTTTAACCTCTCTCTCTGCTCCTTTTCTCTTTCTCTAAGCCTCTCACGTTCCTCGTGCTCCCTCTCCCTCTCCTTCTCCCTCTCCCGCTCATTCCCTCTGCTCCTGTCTCTCTCTCTTTCTCTCTCCCTGTACCTGTCCCCCCCTCTCTCTCGTTCCCTCTCTTTGTCTCTGTACCGATCTTCATCCCTATCCCTATACCTATCCTTATCCCTCTCCCTTTCCCTTACCTTCTCCCTTTCTCTCTCCTTTTCCTTTTCCCGCTCTCTCTCCTTCTCTTTCTCCCTCTCCTTCTCCTTCTCTCTCTCCCTCCCTCTCGACTGCGATCTCACTCTCACCGCCCCATGCTGCTTCTCCTTCCCCGCATCCTTCGGTTCCGCCACCTGCGCATGCACGCGCGCGGGGGAAGGGTCGCGCCCAAACCGTCCGCGCAGGGGGGACGCATGGCGCGGGGAAGCATCCTTATTCCGCCAGAAGAAAATCCCCCCTCCGCCTCCGCCTCCGCCCCCCGCGCCGTCCGTGTCCACACTGAGGCGCAACCCCTCAGCCTCCGCAGGCTGCTCCTTGCCGCCCGCGCGCGCCTGCGCGTCCCCCCCGTGCGCTGCTGCGCCCCTGCCCCTGTTGCGCTCATAGAGGGCATCTGCGGAGTCGTTGTCGTCCTGGGGGGTAGAGGGCGGGGAGCAGTGCCATGCAGGCAAGGCGTTTAGCGGGTGTCAAGCCAGAATGCAGTACAAACGCAAGGGAGACGTCCAAGGGAGTAGCGGGAACGAGTGATGAGTACTTGACGGACAGGGTTGATAATCCTATAAGCTCCATTTCGGTTAAGGCAATTGTGATACCTGCTTATTCTCCTCTATCACCCCAACCACCCTACAAGGAAGCAGTTGGATTCTCAACTGACCTGATTCGACGGAAGGCTGGAAGAGCGACCGATTGAAGGGGTCGCTGCAACTTGGGCTCCTCTCTGCTGCTGCTGTGGCGGCTGCTGCGGCTGCTGATGCTGGCGGTGATGGTGATGATTGTTAGTTGGCTCGTTCGCATGGTAGTGCTTCTGCACGTCCGAGAGAAAGAGGGGCCGGCAACGCGTTACTCTGTAGGCTGAGAGTGCGATGCCTTATCGCGTGGGCTCATAGCTTTTGAAAAACAAAACCAACAAACATGCTCCATGGGGTGAATAACCTTGCTGCACTCACCTGCCCCTTGGTGGGCGTGGTGGTGTTGGGCAGGTCGATGCTCGACAGCACGTGACCTATCACAGATAAACCTTCCAAACATGCGCCAGGCCTACCTTGTCTCCCTGCTGCGCCTATCTACTAGCCCTTGCCGCGCCTACCTGCCCCTTGGTGGGCGTGGTGGTGTTGGGCAGGTCGATGCTCGACAGCACCTGGTCACTCGCGTCCGAACCTTGCAGATATGCTCCAGGCCTACCGGTACCTTGTCCCCTGCTGCGCCTACCCTCCACTTGCCACCCACCCCTGTGCTGCACTCACCTGCCCCTTGGTGGGCGTGGCGGTGTTGGGCAGGTCGATGCTCGACAGCACGTCGCTCGCGTCCGACTTGCTCTTGCTCATCCGCTTCGGCCCCACCGCCGCCGCTCCATGCACCCCGCCCGCTGTCCCCCCTGCTCCCCTTGCGCCCGCTGCTGCGCCTGTTCCTGCGCCTGCCCCTACAGCAGCAGCAGCTGCCGCTTTGCCGGCTGGCTTCTTGGGCGTGAGCTCCTCCTCGTTCTCGCTCTGCCCCGTGTCCGACTCCTCGCCCTCCCTGGCACGTGGGAACGAGAAGAATAAAGACAAGCAAGTCGGTAAGTGGAGCGAGAAGGTGACATGACAGGGTGAATAAAGGGGGAAACGAAACGCATGGAATAGCACATAAGCAAGTCAAGACGTGGCGGGTACAAATGTGGTGCTAGTTATAGAATAGTGCTAGTTACAAGCAGCTACAGAGGGAGTTAGTATGCAAGGGAGCGATGACTGACCTGGGATCACGAGACGAGCATTGAATGGTCACCTGAAACACAGTGGCCGAGCAGGAAACACGAGAAATGCAAAGGTAACGCACACAAAGTTAGCTTCTAAGATACCTCATGATCCGTGCAGGAAACATGAGGAAACGCAGAGATAAGCACGCAGAATGAGAAGGACAGAAGGATAGCGCAGTGCTGATATGGAATTACAACACGAAGGAAACGCCAGGGCACGGCCACTCACATGCAGCACAGTGCCTGCGGGGCAGTACTTGAGCGGCAAGGCCCGCTGGTCGAGCTGGTTAAAGCCGGCAAAGTCCGCAAGGTTCAGAGTCGCCTCGCCCAGAATGCCGCCTCGCGTGGAGCCCTGTAACGCGTACAACGGAGGTCAGGAAATGAGAAGGGACATACGGAGCCGAGATAAATAGGAGTTTTTACCGTCAAGCAAGCAACCCAAAGAGGCAAGGAATGAAAACAGCAATCCGGAGCCCCGAGTATGTGGTGGACTACAAAGAGTTGTTCTTCTAGATAACATTTCTGCGTTGCAATTCTTCAAAAGCGTGTGCACGCGTTGCGTGCCGAACGAAACCACTCCATGAAGCATCATCCTGCGCTCACCGTGGACACGATAAGCCGGTACACCTTCTGCTCATAGCCTTTCCCTTTGGGGTTCCTGGCGAGGCGGGTGACCTCGGTGACGGTATCGGTCCACGTGCACGTGCCATTCTTCACCACCCCCTTGGGCGTCTGCCCCTCGAGTTTCCCCGTGTCCACCGGAATCAGCGACACCACCAGCCTGTCGAACCCCGTTGCGGGCACCTGTCGTGTGTTTCAAAGACGGGTAGGGTACAAATGGGGAGAACACGTTCAAATTAAAGCGTCAGACGCAATTCAGAAACGTTCCCCCTCACGCGCCTGCTGTTCGAGACTCCCCGTGTCTACCAAGATCAGCGACACCAGCAGCTCCTCGAACCCCGTCGCCGGCAGTCATGATTGTAAAAAGCAAGGAGATGCTTCTTGCTCGGTTACCTACCGGATTTTAAGTTTCCTTCCAACCTAGAAAAAACCCGTAGGAATCACCATCACAACTTTGTTGATGAAGTCTAACTGACCCGGATAGGCGAAAACCCAATTTAAACCGGGGAATGTGAGAAGACCATTGCTTGTGCCAATGCAAACACCAAGTGCACAGTGGAAATCGCTGTTCTAAGATAGACGACGCATCGCTGAAGGCTGCTGTTTAGACGCAGCCGAATGTGCATGAAACGCAGACAGTAAGCAAAGGATGAAACGATGACCGTTGCTTACCCGAGTAGCATGAAACCTAAACCGGAACTCGAACTTCTCCTTCTTAGACCCAAAGGCCTTAAACATCTTGTCCGGTATTCAAATCTCCGCTACTAATAATATTAAATATTATACGGACTGCACCATCCGTTTCTGAGCCTGCATGACGCAAACTGCTTAATATATAGCAGACTAGCAGCACGCGCACGCGGCTTGTAAAACTTAATTAGTATATCTTTCCACAATAATCTAATATTCTGCTCCACCCTGTCTGTCCAAATCAGCCAAGGAGACAACAGCGTGGCAAGAAAAGAGGAGCAACTGAGAGATGAAGACCTGCCTCCCTGCCGAGTCAGTGAAGAGGGCCAACAACGGTCAGGCTTCCTGACTCATTTGCCTGACTGCCTTCCTGCTGAAGGATTATTTGCACCCCCGCTCCTGAACTCGGCTAATCGCTAGTGCGGTTCAATACGTTCTACACACGGTAAACAGGGATTTCTGGTACTTTGTGGCTCTTGACCCTGGTTTTCGAACCGCCTTGGGATTGATGTTCAAGCAGGCTGATTTGGTGCCTGGGTTGGTCGCTTGGCTCCCGGGCAGTTGGACCAGAGCAGTGGGAAAAAGTATGGACCCCGATTGGTGGAGACACTCTCAAGGTGCCTGATCGCGCCAGTTTCCCGCTCACTCCATCAGTTTCAGAACGAAAAGTGCGAACCGTGACGACACCTATCAACCCAAAGCGGCATGGCTTGTTTGCTGACAGGTGTTGTCAGAGGGCTGCGATAAGATGTTTTCGTTACAACCAATTTTCAACTAGCATTCATTGTAAGTTCTTAAATACATCTTTAGAAACAAAAGACACTAGCTGGCGTGACAGACTGAATTGTGTAGTGTGCAGATTTATAATCACTCAAGCACTTATTGCACGGCTTCTGCGTAATTCAGGCTGGAAGCGTAAACGCATTTTTCTAAACGGTAAAAATAGTCAAATTACGTCAGACTTATAGTGATACAGTATATAAAACTGCCCGTTCACGTTATCGATGACATGATTTTGTTCTAATATATTATTGTATTTTGAATACGTTCTCAGTACACCAGGAGCTAGATTATCAACTCGTTTTGCTTGGTGTAAGGAATTTTCTCGACATTCCTTAGCGCAGCCCGCAACATCACGTACAGCAACAGCCGTTGTTCGCCCGTTACTGCTAACGGGGCTTCGCCAACTTTGCGCGCACTGTTTTCACCAAACCTCGCACTGCTGGAGCAGCCGAGTCGGCCTACGCTTCGGGACTAGCCCGAACCTCGCGCCAGCGTAGCACTAGCTAGCTCGCACGCGCCGCGTTACCGTTTGCATGTTTCGCGTATAAATGTTCGCTCATGCCTTCGCTCACATTTTGTACTCGTTTGACACATTAGTGCAATCCTCGCTACCTCGATCCATTGCACCCGTAACACTTGGTATTCAGAGCCTCTTTCTTTCGGACCGCGCATCTCCGCACCCCAGGAAATCAACTTTTGTTTTTTCGCTCGAAGGGACTCACGCACCTTAGCCCCTAGGAGCCGCTGCCCTCGCGTTCTCTCGTAAACGCGTGCAGCCACGACTGCGCCTAGAACTAAGACGAGCCGACGCCCTTCGGAATGGCCGAACATATCGACGTCACCACCCTCACGCAGGACCGTCTGAACGAACTGCTGCAGCAACTTCGCGAAAGCTCTGAAGAAATCGCGGCGCTGACGGCAGAACGCACGTCCCTGCAAAATGACGTCGCACGAGCACAATCTCAAGCACCTGGCACTCCGATACAGCCCGCACCACAGACATCGCAACATGGGAGTGTGGGGCAACCCGCGAGCGCGGCCAGTGATGGCGTCGTCCGCCACGACGGAGACGACGACCACGGCACGACACACCCTGAAGCGACGAATGCGACCAGAAGTCAACCTCGCGTCACGATTTCTGTGCCGGCCGGCGACTCAGCACTACCGTCGCCAATGCCGCTGAAGCCGCAGCGTCCGCCATGCTTTGACCCGAGTCAACGGGGTGGTCCTACCGTTAAGGCGTGGTTGTTCACGTTGAACGTTTTCTTCGGCGCCAGCTACGTCTCGGAGGATACGGCGAAAATCCGCTACGCCGTGTCGTTGCTGCGAGGACCCGCCATGGACTGGTGGCGTGTCATCGTCACGAAGCCGGTGGACTACGCGACTCTACCGACACGGGAAGGACAAACCGGACCCTGGGCGCCGTCGTATTTCGTGGAGGTGCCCCAATATCGCACGTGGGACGCGTGGTGCGCAGGTCTGCGCGCTCGGTTTGAGCCAATCGCGGCTTCGATCGCGGCGCGACAGAAGCTCCGCACTTGGCGCCAACTCGGTTCCGTCCAAGACTACACGAGCGGGTTTCTGGCGCTATGCGAGCAAGTGGGTTATATGCACAAGAGCGAGCGCATCGACCGCTACATCGGCGGCCTGAAGCACGACATCGCTCAGGAAATCCAGCTTCGCGGCGTCACCGATTTCCAGGAGATTCTCGCCATGGCGGACAAGCTCGACTTCTTCCGCCGACCGAGACCGGGGTCCTATGGAAGCAGCAACTGGGGACATCGGTCTCGTGGGACGAACGAGGGCGCTACGATACGTGCCGTCGCCGCGAATGCCGCTGCCGCACCGTTCAAAGGGCGCTGCTGTCAAACATTATATATGTTACTGCTGTGTAGGCTACAGAAGGTTAGCCTTTAGGGGGTACAATACTCTAGGGTTTCATACTTGTATCCCCAATCTTCCTAGTTCAATCACTTCACTCATTCTGACATGGTATTACGAGCCTAGGTTAGGAACCTAGGACCGTTCTTAGGGCCCACCGTTTCCGCTCGAAGCGCCCTCGTGCGCCGTCCCTTCCTAGCGCCCTCGTGCGCCTCGCTCCTAGTGCGCCCTCGCGCGCCCTCTTCTTCTCTTGAGCTTCCCGTGCGCAGCCGCTAGCAGCCCGCGCGCGCGGCCCGTTTTTAGGTCGCGTAGCCCGTTAGCCGCCCGCGCGCGGCCCGTTTCTTGAGCGCGCGGCCCGCTAGCCGTTCGCGCCGTCGTCGCCGCCCACGCGCAGCCCACTCTTAGCGCGGCCCGCTAGCCGCCCGTCGACCGCCGCCGCGTCCCCTTAGGCCGCCGCCCGCACGATCGCCGCCGCCAGCACGAACGCAGCCGCGGCCCGCGCGCAGCCGCACCCTAGGCGCCGCCGCGCACCGTGCATAGGCCCGCCGTCGCGCCGCCCTACCTGCCCGAGTCGCGCCGCCCGAGTCGCGCCGCCCGAGTCGCGCCGCCCTGATCGAGCCGCGCCGCCCCACCTGTAGCAACTGCTGTTCCTGTTCCTGCTACAGCTACTACTACTACTACTGCTACTGCTACTGCTACTGCTGCTACTGCTACTGCTGCTACTGCCACTATGGCTAGTCCTACCGTTCTCACCTTTGACTCTGAGGGCCGTCCGATTAAGTTTGACGTTTGGCTCGATGACCTGCACCTGTTCCTCCAGATCACTGCCAAGGACGATGTTTCCCTGTTTGACCACACGTCCGGCGTAGCTCTCGCACCTGCTGCTACCGCTGACAGTACAGCTCGCTCACAGTGGCAGACCCGTGACGCTCACGCTCGCCTAGCCGTTCGCAGCCACCTGCCGTTAGATGAGCGCGAGCACTTTGGCCAGCATAAGACCGCTAAGGAGCTGTACGATGCTGTAGTTGCGCGCTACTCCTCCCCTGCTACTGCTGCGATAGGCCGTCTCTCGCTGCCCTATCTCTTCCCCGATCTGTCCGCCTTTGCCACAGTAGCTGACCTCATCACTCACCTCCGTACTAGTGATCTCCGCTACCGTGCCGCGCTTCCTCCTGATTTCCTCGCCAAGAACCCTCCCCCGATGTACCTCACACTCTACCACCTAGTCACTCGCCTCCCTGACTCTCTTCGCACTGTCAGGGACCACTTTCTCGCCCTCTCTCCCACTGACCTCACTGTCGACCTGCTCGAGAAGGAACTCCTTGCAGCTGAGAAGAGTATTGTAGCTGTAGGTGCCTCTCGTGGCGACCCTCGCACTCCCTTCTTTGAGGGGTGTTCCCCCGTCCCCCTTCTCCCCTCCATTGCATCTGCTGCTGCTGTCGACTACCTCGGTGCTGAGGAGGTCCATAGCTGCCTGCCACTGAGAGGAGTAGGGACCCTCTATCGCCTCCGCGTAAGAGCGCGGAGTCGGGATGTCAAGTGCATCCGGGTCTCCCTCAGGGGTAAGCAGTACGGACACGAGATGAGGTGAAGCAGCAGCCAAACACTGGAACTCCTCCTGCCTGTCCTCAAGGACGTCCGTGCCAAGGGCACACTCACCCCCGACGGACGCAGGACAGACAGACTCAGACTCAGCAACAAGGCTAGCAGCGTAGTCTAGACGACAGCGAGCAGCAAAGTCGACGAGCTCAGTAACTAGGGCAGACGCAGCAGTGGACTCAAAGGAAGGGTCAGTGACAACAGTAGCAAGGAGACGCGTGACAGTAGGACTGGCAGCACGAAGAGAGTCCGACTCCGGGTCAGGAAGAGCAGGAAGAGAGGACTCAGGAGGAGAAGGCAAAGGGGCACGCAGAGGAGCAGTGGACGGACGCAGAGACATCCGGTGCATGCCAGGGACAGGAGGAGGACGCTGACGCGAACCACGACCACTAGTGCGAGCAGCACGGACAGGCGACGCAGGGCGAGACGCAGGCTCACGACGCTCAGCAAGACCTCCAGTAGGACCAGTGTAGGGAGAAGGAGCGGGCAGTGGGGAGGCCGGCTGTAACTGTAACTGTGACGGGACAGGCTGTGGACACTCTAAGGGAGGAGGAGGACCAGTAGAAGGCGGGAGACCAAGAACCTGCTGAAGGAGCGGAACGAAGTACGGCCTAGGCCGCGAGGCGACTCCAGACACAGCAGGGACAGCACCAGTACCCCCAGCGGCAGCACCAGCGCCAGCAGCACCTCCAGCTCCAGTACCTCCAGCAGCACCAGTAGCACCCCCAGCAGGACCGCCTCCAGGACCGACAACAGTAGCCTCAGCGCCAACACCCTCAGCAGCT